GAGAATACATCATCCACTTCATCGTCTGAAGCTTGCGTCCGAAGCATGGCAAGAAACCTAGACGACGCAGTGTCTCGTTCCCTACTCAGGGAACCATGGTTTCATACGTAACCTGAGACGTTCCCTTTCAAGGGAACTTTGAACTGTGTCCTCTAGGGGTCGCTATGGGGAACGGTATACCCATGCCACGATGCTGAGGGGAGTGCATGCCAGAGCCATGGCAAGCACTAAGTACCAACTCTACCATAGCCATGGGAGTTGTCCCAGGGACGTTAAGACGGCTGTCAGTGACATTATTCCGAGCCAAACGGGAGAGGCAAGCTCAAATACAACCCTCTAAGGTGAGGGGAGCACTGCCTGAGACAGCATTACACAAGAAGGTTCTCACAAATGCCACCTATACTTCCCGCTCAATGCCTCAGCAAGAGGGGATATCCTGGTGACTAAGAGGCCCCTCAGGGCGACCTAGCTACAGTATACCAGACAGGGCAGCCTGAAAGCATAAGCCCAGCCCGGACATCCAGGAAATTCTGCAGTGCCGTGCCAGGGGCCTGATGACCAGGAAGGCTCCCGCAGAAGCCTGTGACCTGGCTGCATGATCCAGGAAGCATGAAGCCGATAGGCTATCATACCGGCTGGACATCATATCGACGAGTGAAGTAAATGCTGCAAGTCAAGCACCCGGTTTCTGAATCCAACAGAGGACCTACCCTAGAAAAGGACAGAAACACACAGGTCCTGGAAAACACTGCAAAAAATGTTCATCCAATCAAAACGCTTGGTCCGAGCGTTTTAATTGGCTTTCCTAACTGCCTGTCAACGTATGTATTAGCATACCTCTGCGCAATTTTTGTATTGGATGTTGCATTCCTATTTGCACTTTAATTTTGAATGTTAAGTGAAAGCTATTGAAGCTGTTGTTTTATACAGCTATTTTTGTATTGGATGTTATATTCCTATTTGCACTTTAATTTCGAATGTTAAGTGAAAGCTAGTGAACTTTTATTAACACATTTTGCACTGGTGCTGGTTTAATAAATAATTCACTAAATTTGTGTGTAGGACCAAGAAATGTTCGTCCAATCAAAACGCTTGGTCCGAGCGTTTTAATTGGCTTTCCTACTTGCCTGTCAACATATGTATTAGCATACCGCTGCGCACCCGGTTCGATACGTCATCAGTGCATTCACGCACGCTGTGCAGGCAGAGCGAGAATGGCAGACAAACATCAACAACCCGATCTTCCTTTCTGGTATTGTAGTGCTTTTAAAGTTTTCTCACCGGTGAATGACACATGATGTAGCCCAGCGGTTCCCAATTCCAGTCCTGGCGCCATAGATTCATCACTTTAGAGTGTCGCAGTGACTGTCTTTTTGCAGTAAAGGACCTGTCATAGTTTAATGAGAGGGAAGATGACATGAAGCGACGCGAGGTTAGATGAATTGAAAACAGATGAGCGCATATGTGAATAAACAGCTCCCGATCAGGACAAAGTTCATGACAGATTTTCTGGTACACAAAACAAGTACTTTAAAGGAATTCCTTAGCTTATAACCCTTACTGACCTGAACATTAGCTCCAAAACATGCCTTGCTGTGTCTTGAGCTTGGCGGGCAGCATCAGATAAAATGGCAGTAATTGGGGTGCTTTGTACAGCGGCAGCGATTTTTTGAATGGCATCGCAATGAAGTTTAGACTTCTCATGCTCATTGCATTTTTCTGTGGCTTTCCGCCAGTTTGTGAAGCTTCCCTTTACAAAACTGCTGTCAAATCTCACACTATCTTCATTAATGAGACTTTTTTTCCCACTGCTTTCACACAGCTAAAACAGACAACACGATCACCTTCCTCAATGTAATGCAGCCACCTCCATTTGTCGAACCAGTTTGTATTGAATGAATGAGAAAATGTCTCTTTTCCGAACTGTCTTCCAGGAAAACTGAAGTTAGCTGGTTGGTGTGGAGTGATTGCCTCGACCAAATCGATAACGCTAGTATTTTGTGCTGGTACTGCCGCGGCGGCAACGTTCATGTTACCTTGAATTAGCGCGGCTCATGGGCCCAGATCCGGGGCTGATGTGGTGGTCGCTTTGGAGGAGCTGTTGCAGCTGCTGCTGGTTGACTGCCAACTAGGCATAGGCTCCAGGTCTACTTCCTTATCCGACTGATCCGCCAGCTCAAGGCTCGGTCTCTTTATTTAGTTTGGGCTTCGTGAAAACATCAGAAATACGTTTTTGCGCCATGTTGACTGGTATATATTTAATCTTCAATGATGGATTGACAATTGTTGCTTATTATCATTGTAGGCCTAAGCTTTTTTTCCCCAATGAATTTGAATGAATATTCAAATTAATAAAAATAGTTTTATTTCTTTTTTGTTACAAAATTTTAATTTATTTTTTTATTGCTTTGGGCCCTGTTGCCTTGCAGCATCTTTCCCTGCCACTCTCATTGTGGCATGACATGGGCTGGGGATTAAGTTACGGTATGTTGTAGCCACGGCGGGATCAGAGGCAACCCCAATAATTATTAAATATTTATTAATTTATAATTTAATACTATTATTATTAATATTATTATTAATAATAATATTAATATTATTGTTAATATTAATATTATTAACAATAATTAGTGCCCCTCACTGAGGCAGAAGTATCAAAACTTCTCCTCTCCAGCCATCCTACAAATATTGTTGCTAATAACATTTGTTGTCTTTTTTTTCTTTTTTAAAGTTATACTACTTATATCTGTTACTAATCTGTTAAGATACTATTTCATTTGTATGCTTCCTCCCCCACCCCTAGACACAATGACAAATGCACACACAAGCGCACACACACACACACACACACACACACATGCATGCTCACAGACACATGAATGCAAATACAGGAACTAATCAGAATGGACTTGTAATATTGTCTATCAGTATATATGTTATATGTTTGGTCCATGGGATTCTGTATTTCGCACATGTAAACATTGTCACATTCTTTACTTGCATAATAATAAAACAATGAATTAAAGAGATAGTTCACTCAAAAATGAAAATTCTGTTATTTATTCACCCTTATTTATTTTCTGATGCACAATAACCAATGAGGTTTGTTCTAATGAGCTTTTGTTTACCATATGCAATGTGCTTTATGCATGCGTGTTTATATGTAAATAAAAGCCTAAATTAAAACAAAAACAAAAAAAAATGGAATATAATCTAGTTTCAGTCACTAGCGTGTTTCATAAACACATAATACTTTATGGATTATAATCCGCCATCAAAATTATAAATGTAATTATTCCAGCTACTGTGAGAAAAGGCTATAAACGATCCGCCACCTGAAGCATCCTCACATGCAATATAGCCTACTAGCCGGGACTCCTTCTTTGTTTATAGACGTGACGCAATGAGGCGGCGGCATGCTCGAATTTCTTGCGATGTGAATCAGTCTAATCGGGTACTTACTCAAATATTGATTCTGGAACATTTTTAACCAAAAAGAGTTAAGTATTGCAGCTTTAATTTCTCATGGCCACAACATATCATGTTCCCATGAGTTGCCACGAGTTGTGACATAACTTAAAATTAATTTAAATATATTGATATAATTCATAATTTTATGATTAATATGTTAAATAATAATAATAAAATAAAATGAACAAAGCATGACCTCTCTTATATGTATTTTGTGATTGTTTCGGACCAGAGTGCAATTTCTCTTTAATACATACTGAACGGTGGCTCAAAACACCCAACTGCTGCAGGAGTATATGATTACAGCTTTCAGTGGGATAAAGCAAACCAGTGTCGCACTAGTAAAGTTTTGATTGATGAAGACTGTAATCAAGGTAAGCAATTACAGTGATGTAGTCATACAATAGGTACGCGAGTCATACAGGTGCATCTCAATAAATTAGAATGTCGTGGAAATGTTAATTTCAGTAATTCAACTCAAATTGTGAAACTCGTGTATTAATAAATTCAATGCACACAGACTGAAGTAGTTTAAGTCTTTGGGTTCTTTAATTGTGATGATTTTGTTTTTTTTATTGGTCTTATGGAGTATTCTAATTTGTTGAGATAGTGAGTTGGTGGGTTTTTGTTAAATGTGAGCCAAAATCATCACAATTAAAAGAACCAAAGACTTAAACTACTTCAGTCTGTGTGCACTGAATTTATTTAATACATGAGTTTCACAATTTGAGTTGAATTACTGAAATAAATGAACTTTTCCACGACATTCTAATTTATTGAGATGCACCTGTAGCCTATATGCGCAAACAATCACTATGACGTCATGCTTCTGTTGTCAAAATTAATGTCATGTGAGTATTTTATAATGGTTTCTCATCAAAGAAGTGAGCTTTGGAAAATTTGGTGAGAATTATTGGTGATTATGTACATGGGCATCAGACGCTCCAAACATAGACACGATTGCTTGTTCTGACAGAGGAACTGTTCACTGATGACATCAACCTTCCTTCAGATCTCTGAGTTTCCACACATTGTTTTTATTTTTCATTTGTTTTTTGGTGTGTTTAGTATTTCTTCCAATTTATTTCCCTGATAGTCAAGTGTGTTCTGAGCACATAGAAACAAATTTCTGTCTCAGATTCATAGACACAGGTTTCTATTTCTCTCTGTTCTCTCTGTCTCTTTTTTGTTGTATGCCCTCTGTCCACCTCTGGCGGCAATGTGCAGAGATGTGGCCTAATGAAAAATGAGGATGTCACTGTATTGTTGCAAGGTTAGCACACAGTCTAATGAAGAAATGCTGTGCTGGCCTGCCCTGGCTCACCAAGAGAATCCAGCAGCCCAAGATAATAATCCAAGAGACCAGATTATTTTAAAACAAATACTACAACTCCAAAGGGAGCCATTAAAGGACACTGCGGGTCTTTTGAAACACAATAGAGAAAAACAAAAGAAAAAAAGGGGGGGAAAGACTTATGAGTGGTTCTATGCTCTGTCACTGCACTTGACAAATAATCAGCTACCACAGGAAGGGTGTGACGTGATTCAGATGGGCACTCTGTCTCTCATGATGCACACTGTGAGCACACAAGGGCCTCTTCTTGGCAAATGACAGGCATATTTATGAAAATTTCAGCTTAATTTGTTCACAAGCTCTCAGAGTGAGGAGACAAAGAAAAAAAAAGTGTAAGGGGAATTTCTCCTTGCAGTACTTTAAGGCTAACTTCCAGCCAGAAGATGGATGACATGGTGACATGACGTCTTCCTTTATGTTGATTGTTGTAACATTTAGATATAATTTAGATATACTTTATACAAGAAAAAGTATATGAAGAGGTTAATATTTATAATACTCACTTGGCTCTGGACTGGTTTGCAGAAGGTTTGAAGACACTAATCACCTTTTTGGCTAATCAGGCAAATGAGGATATGTGAACTGTTCTGACAGATCTGGAACAAATGTATACTCTGTCAAAATTAACTGGTCCCAAAAATCTTAATGTTTACGGACTAGTAATATTACAGGCATTTAGCAAACTTGTAGCAGTCAATATTCACACATGTAGCCAACATGTGACAGCATATAAGGGGCTTTCGCACCGCATAGTTTCGCATGGTGGATGCTAGAGAACCAATTTCTCCCTCAGGCCATTTTCCTGGTTGCATTCGCACTGGCAGCAGGAACTCTGAAGCGGCCGACAGTGATGTCTTTATGCGCGGCATTTACAAACATCAATTGAGGACGTCATGATTGGAGCGGTTTTTGTTGTGTCATGGGATTCGTGATAACGGAAATGGAATGTAAACGCACATTTTACACAACTGACCCTTCGCAAAGATCCGCCTTCCTTATAGTACTGGTGCCATGACCGACAAACAATGCCGCTCTCACACTACACACATGTTCTCATGCAGTGAAAAATACATCGCAGAGCAAAGAGAAAACTGACAACGCACCGACAGACAAGACAGAGCAGGTTACTTCTGGTATGAAACAAGGTCTCAGGACTCTCAGCTTTTAAATTGTGTAATTTTAAAAGAAATTCAAACAATAAATATAGTTTTGTGGCTCCTTAATGTGTCGTGACAGATCACTGTATTGCCTCAGTTCAAACATGTGAACCGATCGTCTTTTCATATTTACTTAAAGCACGAAATGAACATGAATAAACATCAGAAAGTATTTTATTTCAACCGCGGAACACACTATTTTAAGTTTAAGTCCACCGAAGTTAATCTACTCTCCTCTCTGATTTGTGGTTAAGGCTAGAAGGGATACAACTGCAGCTACTGGGCATGCGCATTTACATATTTTCGAAGTCAACAATATTACGTGAAACCTATGAAAATGGTTTAAAAAAGCACATGGCACCATAGTTTCATAATTTTAGAGTGTCTTTTTTAACCGGATATGCTTAGTGCAAAACTCTCCTCTCCTCTCCTCATTCGCCAAGGGAGTTCCAAATGCTAATATGAGACAGTAATGTCCTACACCCTTCAAAGAACACACTTCAAGGGCTTTGTCCGTCGAAGGGACTAGGGCATAGGGATGCTAACTTCCGTTTGGAATTCACCCTATATGTCTCTGCATTGACTGAATGATTTTTTATTTTATTTTATTTATTTATTTATATGATGTTTTATTAACAAGGTTCGGGAGGAGCACATCACATAATCAATCAGTCTGGCCCAGGTGGAGCTCGTCAGCTAATCACCTTAACAAGCACATGCGTGTGTATATATATACAGCCAACTTACCTCAGTTCCACGAACATTTTCCAGCATTCGGTTTTGCTCCTCGTATCATTCGGCCATGCCAATATATCCTCCGATCGGAAAGTGGATAGTATTTAAGTCTGAAGCAAATGCTGATTTATTTCCGACGAACCATTCTCACGGAGGGTAAACAAAGCTGATCTGTACGATCTATTCTTCACCCTGCAATTCAGCCAAAGCGGCCAATAGATCGCGCAAAGCCTCGAACTCGCCCACTCGACACTACCATTGCCTCCGGCGGCAGACGTTAGCGTGAGGCTGCCTCCGCTAGCCATTCAAGCTCAGCCACCTTACTCTTACCCTTCCGCTACTCTTTTTTCCTATCAATGGCCAGCAGCTCCTGCTGTAGACGTCCAAGCAGGGCAGCATCATCCAGCAACGCAAGCTTACTGACCTCCTCCCTCATTTTCTTCTTCCTCTTCCTACGTGCTTCCCTAAGCACCAGAGGCTAATCCATGCGTGAGGCTGCCTCCGCAAAAGGTTACGGCCCCTCCTTATTTTCCTTCTAACCCTTCTCTCCAATCTAAACCTCAGTACACTTCATTCACAGCAGTCCCACCACTTACCCCCCGAATGCTGCAGCTCAGGAACCACCCCCTGTGCCTAATACCATCAAGTCTCAGATTCTCGCAGAAATTCAGAGCGCTGGCTCCGGAGGCGGACCCATCGCCAACCCCAGTACCTCACTGTTCACAACTCGTATTCCCATAACGCATCCCTTAAAACCTCCTCAACGAGTCACTCGGTTCGATCATCCAAGCAGTTTCACCCAGAACCATCTAACTGCTTGGAGATCATTTAAAGCTTTCCACCTCTCGTTCAACCTGCCATTTCCCAATTTCTCCCTCAGACTCGACGCTATGTTCATACTGGCTTTTTGTGGTTTCCTGAGATGCTTGGAATTCACAATAAATTCTATTCAACCTCAAACTCCATCCAACTGTCTCCGACCTTTCCGTGCTTGACAGTGAAACTATCTCCTATTTCATCAAACAAAGTAAATCAGATCAGGAAAAAGAGGTCACCACGTCGGAAATTTTTAAACCCATCGTTTCAGGCCCTTTTTCTTGCCTACAATTCAGAAGCTCTCAGTCTACATCCCCTCTTGACCCTCTTTTTGTCGATGACTGTAACCACCCCGTCACACGTTTTTGGTTTCAAAAACATCTATCCAAACGACCTTCAATAAACATCATCCAACCAGTCATACCCGTAGAAAGATTTTCTAGCCGAATCGGGGCAGTAACTACAGCAGCTCAAAAAGGTCTCTCATAGCAGCAGATCCAAGCTCTCGGTCGATGGTCATCGGACGCCTTCAAGAGCTATATCAGGACCAATAATTTTCACACAAAGAAAGCCCATCTAATTCTGATC